ATTTGTGTTGGCTGATCCAGGGAACGACACCTACAAATTCGAAATATTTAAAGATGCACTCATCAAAGCGTAAAAGAGAGGGCTAAGCAAGAGGCAGAACTTTTCAGTAAATATCTGTTTAAAGTCGAAGAAATGAATGACTTTATTTTGCGGAAAATTCAGATTTTAAATCTGTTGCGGCAAAGGCCTGACGAAGAAATAACACAGGTCATTTTACCTACGTCGCTGTTCTTCGAATTAAGAAATCCAAAGACATTTGAGAACCTGTTTGACCTTGTGAAATTCGAAAGCAGGCGGAGTGCAGAAAAGACATGTATGGCAGGATATGGCCAGAGGGCCCAAATGAGCAAAGTTTTAGGTCTACACCACAGCCGAAAACCCTGGGAAAATAATGAGAAAAATTTAAACTAAGCATGGGTTACTGAAGATAAGAGGCTACAGTTACGCTCAGACAGTTTCCCCTGAGGCAAGAAAATCCCTCTAATTTCCATTAAAATACTGTAGATGTTAAAAGTTTGGCGCTGCCAATTGTACAAGTATTACTAAATAAAGTCCCTGCAGATGCACTATTAGACACTGAGGCTCACTACGCTTTTTCTATCTGAAATTGTTTTCCGCACGTCCTTTAGAAGTTACGGATTGTTCGGCGTGGCGGGAACAAAAGTTATTGCCGACTCAATGCAAGTAGTGCATGTAGACTGCGCACGGAAAAAAAAAAAAAAAAAAGACAGTTCTATATATAAGAATTGTTCTACTATAGGTATTTTGACACAAAATCTAACTTTTTCTGAAACAACATACCAATTTTTTCCATATTTTGATTCTATGATTCAAATTACGCCAAACTACTAAGTTTTGTAAAAATCACGCGAGTAGTTTTTCAAAAATTAACTCTCAAAATTTTAGCTCCTCAATGTTAATTGAGTTTGGTATATATTTATAATCTCTCTTTTTTTATTAAACTTATTTGATTCTTCCTTTCACATTTCCAAATTCAAGTTCATTCCAAATAAAATTCACCCATTTTTTATGGTTTATTTTAAAATAATTTTTATAAATTTTTCATAAATATTTTGTATTATAATCTATAAAAATTTTACCATTATCTTAAAGTAGACGTATTTCTAAGCAGACCTGCAAAAAATTACAATTTTTTTATTCAAAATTTCCGAAGATATACGTGAATTTATATATTGGCTCGTTTTGAAATTTGGCATATTGGTTGAAAGCGATAAAATATCAAATACGGTTTACACACTTTGTTAAAATTATTTCGAAGTAGAAACGATGTGACTTTTTTCAGCTTCTGCACAATGTAAAAAGATAGGAAAGAGATGCCTTTTTTTCGCTCCAGTAAAATGGAAGGGAAAGGAAAATTGGTTGCCATATGTCAAGAAGTTCATCAAGTGAATCATTCTTGGCGCAAACTGAAAAAAATCGCACCAAGATAAATTTTTAATTTCTCCACAAATTTCTCACCAAATTTTACAAAATTTAATATCTATGCATAATTTGAGTCTTAGAATTGAAATATGAAAAAAATGGTATGTTATTTCAGAAAAAGTCTAATTTTTGTGTCAAAATACCTATGTTAGAACAATGCTATATATAAATCTAATACATAGGATATGTATCTCGAAAGCTCGACTTAGGATGAACTTTCGAGACATGAAGAACGCAATTTGAATTTTGTCAATTGGCCCAGTAGAACGGGAGATGTAGAACTGTTCAATTTTTTTTTTTTTCCCCCGCTTTGTACATAGGTAAAAGTAGCATTGCACTTTCAGATTAAGACTGAAAAGATAAAGCTCGTATTTCTTGTCGTGAGAAGTCTAGAAGCGTCTAATTTTTTGTACGGATTTCTCAACAGCAGAGGGCACGAAATTAAATTTTCAGGAATCCACAATTCAGCTGGATATGAAGAAATTGGAAGATGGGAAAAGCGCAGCCACCAGTGATTGACCTAAACCATTTAGCGGCGGTAGAAAAGGGCAAGATGGAGAGTTTGGTTATTCAGTTTTCTATATTAATTGATTAAAAGCCTGGTCACGATTTTGAGCCGCAGAATTGGCACCAGAAACACGACCCCTGTAAGAGGAAAGTCCTATCGTTACAATAAAATTAAAGATCAAATTATAGAAGTTCATATCAAAGAGATGCTATGAAATAAAATTATAATTCTGATACGTAGCCCTTGCGATATCCGGTGGTTTTATGCTGGAAGAAAAATAATCTGCTACCTAAAGATTTTAGAGCGTGGTGATTGATTATCGAAAACTTAACAGTGTGACTAAATATCCTGTGTATCCCCTTTGCATAATTTTAAAAAATATTCGCAAAGTTAAATTTACTGAGTATGCAATAGTATAATAATTAAATTAATAAATATACTTTACATTCGACATCAGGATACTTTCAAATTGACGCAGAGCATAAAGCGTCCAGAAAACTGCATTTATCACAAAGTCAGGCGTTTAAGCCAATCTAAGAATGCTACTCGGCATATGCAAAGAGCCTGCAACTTTCAAACGGCCATGGACATTATTTTTAGAACGGCCTACGTAAAAGCATTTAGCTAGATGATATAATAATTACTAGTGAGATGATTGACAAACATAATATAGACTTACACGAAGTGTTTTCGTTTCTAAACGAAGCAGGAGTAAAAGTAAATACCCCAAAGTGCAAATTTGCGGTTGCAGAACTTCATTATTTAGGATACAAAATATCAAAAATAATAGCTACCAAAAATTATCCTTCACCTAATACTGCAAAGAAATTACCTTCATGGACTTTCATTAAAGATTTCGCTAAAATATCTCAGCCTTTGTTAAAATCAAAAAAAGAAAGCCAGATTCACTTAGCCGAAGCAAATACAGTAGAGTCCCGCAAACTCAACATACTGTTGATTGCGAGACTGGCAGGTAAAGATGTAAGGCATTTATTTAAATTAACCAGTTATTTTATGTTCAGAAACTGTACTGTCCTTTAACCTACTATAAGGCAAATTTTAAGGTGAGCATATTTAAATGAGGTAGAAAGAGCTAGTATTTATAGGGAGTTTTTAGATTCTTTAGTCAGAACATGTTCCACCAGCTGAAGGCCCCATCACTAGTTGAAATTCTACTATACCATTCTGTCCACGAATTGGTTTAAATTTGCTATCAGTGCTGTTGTGTTGGTGTAGGCTTGAGCCAACTTGCATGTTAAATATTTCTGTGAAGCTTTCAGCTAAGATTTAAATTTAAAATGCTTACTTTTAGTTCATACCATAAATATTGGCTGGTTTTAAGCACCAGTAGTGTCTTCTGTTGAACTATTTGAGTTCTTAATAAAAGGATCTTTTACCCCCTTCTTACATTTCTGTTTGCATTCTAGATGTAGCGGTAAGTAACTCATGTTAAGATTATTACACATAAAAAGCTATAAAACATATAGCAACAATACACAAAATATTTATGTGTCTTTTTAATTTGAACCATGGCCGAACACAGCATCAAGAGGGAAGCGGTCTGCCTAGAGACACAACAGAATGTGAGAATCGATCAATAGTTACAATGGCACTCGAGTCCCAGATTCATCATCATCAATCCTATGTGCAACTAATGCTTCAGTGACTACCAAGACCTTTAACAGGTGATTCAGAGAAACAGAGGTGAGCTCATTGCAACTCTTCATCGACTACCATTGACCTCTAAACATCAACAAGCCCATTTGCAGTGGTCTCAGGCATATTTGATTTGGAATGTCACAGACTAGAGTAGAACTGTCTTCCATTACTACAAGTCCCGCTTTGAACTGAGCCTTGATGACCAGCGAAGACAGGCCTGGAGACACTCTAGAGAGCAATGGGATATCAATCTGACTGTCACCCACCATGGTCAGACAGCCAGGAGTGATGGGCTGGGATACCATTTCATTTTATAGCAGGACCCCTTTGGTTGTCATACACAGCACGCTTACAGAACAGCAGTATGTCAATGATATTCTATGCACCATTGTGTTGCTCTTCATATCATGCCATCCTGGGCTTATATTTCAGCAAGATAATGCCCCCCCCACACATGGCAATAGTTTCCACTGTTTCAATTTATGCTTACCCAACACTATCTCGGCCAGCAAGAATGCCAGATCTCTCACCCATTGAGAACTTTGGGCAGGGACGTCAAACCAGATCAGGATTTTGCCAATCTAACATGGCCGTTGGACAGAATTTGGCACGATACCCTATAGGAGAGCATTGGCCAACTCTTTCAATCACTGCTAAGCTGAATAACTGCTTGCATAAGGATGTGAGGTGTACCAATGCATGACTGACTTGCTCACTTTTTGAAGCTCTTTCTCTTCCAAAATTGTAATCATTTGTTTTTCTGTACATGTACATATCTACTGATTTTCTTCTCCTTCAGATAAACCCTTATTGGTGTGTATTTTTTTTTTTAATCTTAGAGTGTATTTTCTCTATTACTATTATTCTTTACATTCATGTACAATGAGCTGCTAAATGAGATTTCCATCCATCATCAGAATAAAATGACACTTGAAATTCATACATTTCAATTAATAAATAGATTAAAGATTTAAGAAAGTCAATGGGTTAACGTCAATTCTTGGGAATTTTTCAGTTCTCATTTAAATCACATGTTCCACAAAAATAATTTGCGATTGCATTCATAATTCTTAAAATTGTTTTAAAGAGCTATTCTTACACAAGCAAGCAGCTAAATCATGAAATTTATTTTGTGGAATAAAGACTTAAAATAACTGCTTATCTGGTACAACCTAAAGAAGTAGCATCAAAACTGGTATTTGCTCCATGTAAAATTGAGCAGATGCAAAATTAAAACATAATAAATATAATTTTTAAAGTTAAATTAAAGGCAAAATTGTGTAATATGCGTTAGCTGTTAACATTTGAGCACAGCTTTGCAGTCTGAGTAACCTCCAGATTCAAGATGTTATGATTGTATGCATGCTGTATAAGCCATGAATATATCAAGTCAGATGAAATGTAGGCTTTTTATTTCATTCTTTAACATACAAAAAAGCACCATTCTTGATCACTCCAAACATTCAATATTCATAATAATTAGCTACAGTTCATTTGAGCAGTGGGAATAACAATGTTAACATCATAACAGAAATTTTCCAACATTAAAAAAGGTTATACACAAAGCTATTCTGATCTGAACAAATTCCAAACTATACTGGACAGGTACCTGTACTTTGTTACTATAAATGGGAAATGCAATGTTTTGAAAAACACTTGATTAAAAAAATAATAATAAATAAAAAAAAGCAATCATGCATTGGTCCATTTAAAATGTTAAAATTTTAGAAATTTTTTAAAGTTTTATCTTTTGAAAAGAACACTTTACTTACAACAAAATTCAGAAGACTAAATGGAATTTACTGGCAAATAAACAGTGCCTTTTGTATCCAGCATCTCTGCAATATAATTAAAATGCAGGGAGCAAGATATTAAGTTGATGCTGAATGTAAAAAGTGTTAAATTTATACTTTATTTACTTCAGTTAATATCACATTATGGGCATTAAAATAAATTCATTAAATATCAGATTGAACAGTGAATTCAGAGTTTTCAGTTACCCATTTATAAAAATGCCCAGAATGAAATCTTACAGTTCACTCACTACCTTTCAACTGCAGTCAACATGAAATTGCTTAAGGACACTTCTGTTTAGGTTTAAAGGATTCATTTTCGTTATTTCCTAATAATATCCAGTAGGAATATATCGTACACATTTGTTTAACAAAAAGTAACAAAAACCCGTCTTAGCAAAAGTAATTTGCAGGATATCCTTACGGACAAAAAAGCAAGTACAAATATCACATCCTTAGAAAATTTTTTGTAGTACAAATCACTCCCTCAATCATCATCATGAAACACATACTTCACTTACGAAAAATTTGGACAGATTCTCCGACCAAAAATTTTAACATTTTCCTATCCTGCAGTTTAAAATGGCTCCAAGCTCTTTTGGGACTGACTTTTACGACGTCTTTGATAAAGAGATGAATCACTAAGTGGAGACAGACTAAAATGATGAACAGATGATCCAGTGGATGAAGAATCTCCTGGTGTGTTATCTTCTTCTTGAAATGAAAGTGGTGGAGAATATCCCACACTGTGAGACAACTGACGAAGATATAATCTTTTCATAGCATTGGCATTTTCTGCAAATGCAGCTAAATCTCTGGCACTGTTGTTTCTGCAATGAAAAATTAATAGAAACTATCAATGACCCTATTCCATTACCAGTGTTATAATGAAGGAATTAAAAAATATATAGATGATAAATCCTTTGAATTTCTAAAGCTGATATATATTCATTTATACACCTTTAATTCTTCACAAATGTTAAAATAAAAATTACCTTCGGATAATGCGTGGCGTTTGCAGAAGCGTTGCTGGACCTCCACCAGAAACCCAAGGATGATTCAAAACCATTTCAGCTGAGTATCGCTGGCTTGCATCTTTCACTAGCAAATGATTGATCAAATCTTTGGCCTCATCGGATATAAAAGCCCATTCTCTTTCAGGAAATTCATACACTCCTTTCTGAATGCAGTCAAAGAGCATACTCTTGGGAGAAAAATTACCAATTACTGATTGTCTAATGTAAGAATACTGTTCATATTATTATTTTCATCACTGAAACTAATGTCAGTTTCATACAATAACACCAAGACAATCAAATAAATCTGAATTATAATCAATTTCTGAAATTATTAGCAAAGAACTCATTGTACAATTCATTGAAAATTTGAAATAAATAGTCAATAAATATCATATCGTGTAAACAGAATTTCTGGCATGTAAATTGAACAGAACAAATACTGAGCATGCAAGTTTTATTGAAATAACTCATTCATTGTAGTAAATGGCGAAAATCTATGAAGCATCAGTATCTATGAAAAAGCACCAGTTTTTTAAAATTTCAAAACCTTATTTTAAGAACAAAACCTTAATTACCTGACATGCTTCACATGCACTTCCTCTTTCCCAACCACAGTCACCACCACAACAACCATAAAATGGGGGATATCCACATAATAATATGTACCTATAAGAAAGTGCTAGATTTAATTAAGGGTAAAATGAAAAATAAGCCTGATATTCACAATTCTTTTACGATTAAATTTAGACAGTATCTAAGGCTGATAAATGGCATCCTTATATTTAATAATACATAAAAGAAAAAGACTGCTGGATGGCTTATGAAAACATAATTTTGGATAAATAATGATTAGCTTAACTAAAAAATGTTCTCAGATACACAGATACAACTTTAGCTTCAGTTTATTTCTAAAGTTATCCACTACTCTTCACTTGCAAATGAGGAAGAAACAAATTCTTAATGCAATTACATGAGGCCGCTAGCAGAATGCACCTAACTACATTATTCTTCTTTGCTAACCTTTTCAGCAGCTAGAGTTTTTTACATGATTCATGAACTCAATTTACATAGCATTTATTGACTAGATTAATGCAATTATTTACTTTTCTCCTATATTTTCATAACTTTCTGCTCAATAACATGATACCTAAGATTAATGAAAATAATAAAGCACAATATTTTAAATAAGACAGCAATACATACAAAGCACAAGATTTCCAGACAGGATAGAAGTAGATAAATGGCATCCTTATATTTAATAATACATAAATGGCATCCTTATGATCCTATTTCAGAGGGTAAAAGAAATTGCAAAAATATCTGAAACAAGAGTCTGATTATTATTCTGTTCATACCATTGCACTACCTAAAAATCTGACAGATTGCTAACTTTGTTACAGAAAAGTGCCTAGAATTATCTGCCACAGGAGGAATAGAATGACAGAATTTTTTTTTAAGAAAAACAGTTTTCATTTCTTCACAGAGAGCTCTTGTGCCCTTTTCCTTAAACAATTAACCAACTAATCACCATATTTTCATTACTTGTATGAAAACTATGAAAAACCCAATAAAAGCAGCAAGATTCATTAAACCAATAAAAGCAGAAAGCATTCTATGATTTGATAACTACTAGTAGGTTTTTAAAAATTTAAAATCCTTGTCATTTTTTCACATTACTTTGTTAAATATATATACATAAGATTCCTACCTTTTTGAAAATAAATATATGTGCATGCCATGTTCTTCAATAAGAGATTTATTGATTCTTGCAAATAAAGATATAAAAATACCTTATATTAACATGAATGTTACTGTTTACCTTTATTCAAATTGTTCTATAAGGGATGGCTTTAATAAATGGCTAACATAACTAGGATATGATAACATAGAAGAGCATACATATCAATGAATGCATTTTTAATTCTTAAATAATATGAATCCCCAAACAGCAACTTTTTAAAAAAATGTAAGTGATAAACACTTTGAAGTTCAGTTTGCTAACACACTGGCTATTAGATGCCTTGAAATAAAGCATTTTAAAAAAAGACAAGATTTGCTGAGATATTAAAAATAATAATAATTTGAATGAGAAATGCCTACAGAACAAAATAAGATAGATATGCCATTGATACATCTAGCAAATATTCTTTTTGAAATACAAATGACAGCATTTTCTAAGTGTGCTTAGTTACTCAGCACAAAAGTGTTAAAAGTGTTTGCTCATCTCCTACATCTCGGCCCATTATCACCTTAAACTGAAGGTTTGTTCCACTGGAAAAAAAGAGAAGTTCCATATCTATTAACAAGTAAATTAGAACCTGGGTTTATCTGCGTGAAAAGAAGGCTTTGAAAACTAAAATGCTGGGTAGCAATCAACTGTCATCTCTTGCTTTTTAAGACAAAAAGCTTTTCCATTGCAGATTTCAAGGCAGTGTTGATTTGCTCTGCTCAAAAAAGAAAACAACATTAAAACTCCACTTTCTTCTTGACTACCGTCAATACACAAAAGTATGTGGAAAACCTACATAAATTGTATCTTTCTGACAACTAATTTCAAATTTTTTTGGAATATTTGATCACAGAACTAGCACCACAAATTTTTCAGTCTCCAAAGAACACAGTACTTCAGGAAAGGAATTGCTTAGGTCTGTATTCATAAATAAATTAATATTCAACTGGTAAACCTGTTGATTTTGAACAAAGCTTGTGGACATCTGATGAAACCCATTAAGAAATCAGACAATAAATGCAGACAGGATGTGCATCTAATTTGCAACACATATAGTCTGACATCAGAGAATGCCTAGTCCAATAAAAAGGTTTAATGTGTGATGAATGCATATAATTTGATAGCATGAACACAACGTTTAACTTATTTATGTAATCTTTTTATGTTAGAATACTTAAGCTTATATTTCTAGATTTATTTAAACCAGTTTCTAACACCTTCAGTGACAGAAAACTAGTTTTCACACACTGCTTTTTATAACAAGCAAACCATGAGACAAAATATTTCATACAGGAGATTTAATAAATACAATATTTTAAACACTGCTTCTAAATTTCTATTGATACAACATTCATTACAATTGGAAACTTACATAATTACACCAAGACTCCACAAATCACATCTTTTATCATAAGGAGTAGCTTCACCTGTAAATCCCATCACTACTTCAGGGGCCATGAATTCAGCAGAACCAACCTATAGATTCATTAGTTGCATATTAATGTGAGTTCCTATGATTTAAAAACGACAAAAATTTAAGATTTAATGACAAAATCTTACTGGACTAAGAAGCTCTGGCGTACTACATGGTGAAGCAGAGTTGAACACAACACCACTTCCCAGATCAAAATCACAGATTTTAACAGGACACACCTATATAAGAAATATCTTTTAATCAACTGAAAAAGCTTCCAAACAGTAAAAAAATTAATTAGTTCTTATTTACAAAGAACCTTATCACTTCATTATAACTCAATGCAACAGTATCAAAGAAACACATCGTTACCAAATATGAAATTTGAAAAAAAAAAAAAAAAAAAAAAAAAATCATGAAGATTTTTAAAAAACGCACAAGAGCAATTACCTGATCCTGACTGAAACAGAGAATATTTTCTGGCTTCAGATCACGGTGAGCTATGCCTGTTGAAATTGAAACATAAAAACTTTTAACACCAACTCAATATAAACACATATGAACCTTGAGAATATTAACTCAAAATGAGCTGCATCTCCAACATGACAGTAGCTCTACGGTTACAGCTTGAAACAGATAAACCTGATCTATGCATACATTAAAAATATTTCATAATGCAGAGAAAGATTCCAATACATCCTAACTTTATATAACTGTGAAGAACTTAAAAACTAATTTACTTGTCTTAACTTTCAGGCAGAATTGAGAGAAAAATTTTACAGCAAACAAATAGCAAGATAACAGCTGTAAAAGAAATTGATAAAAAATAAGACAATTTCAAAAAAGGAAATCAGAAATTGTAGCTGTTAGTGATTACAGAGTATGATACTTTTGTAATAAGAGTCTGCAGTTAGATACCATAATTAGTATATGCTGATGTTCAGAGAATTATATAACCTATATAATCTAGAGATTCTTCTCCAAATTACATTTTAATCTATATTTTACTGATAAATGCAAATATCAGTAAACTAAATAATTTTAAGAATGTATTTGCCAGTTAACTCTTATAATGCTCTCTGTGCAACTATGACTAGCAAAATAAAGATTGCCTATAAAGGCTTACACTTCTTTAAATTACGTACTTTTCAGCAAAATTCATTTCAATTTTGCATCTTTTTTATAATAATCCAATTATGAGGCCAGATATTCAAATAAGCCAAAAAAATATACTTTAAAGAATTTCCCTTTACTTATAATACACATATACAGGCCATCCTATTATCATCGTGAAACAAGTTAAATTAGTGAAACACAAATTAAAGAAAAATACCAAATTTAAAAAAAGCTGCCATTAACTTTATTTTTTAAATTACAGTACAAAGTCTGTAATCCGGACTTCCGTTATCCGGAATGATCTATAATGAGACATCAAAACCACAACCTTTTTTTTGTATGCTTTACGCATGCGCGTTTAGCACAAAAAACGAAGCAACTTAAACAACTTACATTGAAAGAAATGTTTAATAAAGTAAACAAATAAATATTAAGTTTTTTTTGTAAATTTTGATACCCTTTATATTATAATTGATCTTTATTTCATAAATTACAGTTTCATATCTTTAATTGTATAATTTCTGCATGCCATCTTACCAGATTTAAATTGATGATCTATAATCCGGAAAACCCTTGATCCGGAATCGCCGAAGTCCCGACAAGTCCGGATTACAGACTTTGTACTGTACTTGTTTACAGTGACATATTTTTTACCCAAACCTGATAAGGAGGTAACTATTGGATGCCTTTTACAAGTAACAATGTATACATGTAATTAAATTTCTCTGTTCTCTTTGAACTTAGCTATTATGACCACAATAACATTCTTTATATATTCTAAAGAATTACTGGCCATTCTGTTCTGTTATTAAAAAAAAGGGCTTATTTCCATTTAAGACATTTGTATAGCTCGACTGCGTGAAGAGTAACGACTAACCCCATGATTTCATCTTTCTCTGCTTATGGACCATAGGATGAACAACTAAAAACACTGCAATGTTTGACATTTGTTACCTCTGCCACTGAAAGTCTCCCCCATCCAGACCCCTTTTTCCAGAAAGCCTCCAATGGCTTAGCAACAAGAAAGCATGGACTTCTTTACTGTTTGAAGTCCCTTTCTATTCACTGTTTCTAGAAACCCCTTCTGTAAGGTTTGTTTGAAATTTTGGCAAACTTGTCAGCATCTGGAATTTTTGCAGTTTATACACACTGCTGGCCTTTGCACATAGAAGAGTAAGTTTCATTTGTTCAATAAATTCACTGTTTTATAAGTAAAGTAATTTTTCCTTCTTTTGGCAAAGTTGCTCCAAAAACTACATTTTTACTTTGACGGGATTTCAACTGTGCAAAAGTTTGTTGTTATACTTGAATTAATTGAGCCAGCCCTTGTTTTTGGTTTTTATAACAGGACTTTCAATACAATTTTCATTCCTGAAAACTAATTAATTATTTAATTCTGTAATGTTTTCTATATTTTATATAGTCATTTTTTCATCTTAGGTCTTTTTGATATTTTATGGCATTTTTTGGGTGGGGGCATTTATTTAAATTTTGTAACATAGGAGGACGAAAAAATGCTGGGGAAAAGAAGTGAATTAAGTTTGTAAAGGATATGGGATTACTTTTAAAGCAGTTAAAGTCTCAGTGAGTTCATTTGAACAAAACATGTTTATCCTCACTTGTTAATCAACTTTGTTTAAGGCTTCACAATGCTTTTCCCTTGACAAGTTCTGTTTGAAGCATTAAACAAAGGAGATTAACAAAATTTTTATTGTTTTGGTTTTAGCTTTATTATTCCACCCCTTTTTTTCCAGTTTTCTTATTTGAAATATAATTAATTATACAGTCAAAAGTCGTTAATTCGGACACCCATAATCTGGAATGATCTATAATCCGGACCTCAAAGCTACAAACTTTCTGTGCATGCGTCGCGTTGATGCATGCACGTAAGACCTTTATGGCCGCGAATATGCTTGTGCGCGTGCGCAAAATACGTTTACGAGTGCGCGTTTAATGTATAACGGACAGTATAAGCTAAGCTAAAATTATCTAATTATCTATTTCAGTTAATGTTGCAGATTGCGTTGTTCATTAATCTTTGAATTGGATCCGGCTTATTATTTTTTGCAGACTGCTAGAGCAATTTTATAAAAGCAAGCTTGAACTTTCGATTATGTCAAATAGAATTTCTGATGTATATTTATTAATATGTAAAGGATCTACAAAGCGAAAGTATGTTTCGAAGTTCATTAAACAAAAAGTGGAATTGCTGAAAAAAATGGATAAAGGCATATCCTTTGTTTATCTAAACTTTAACGTTTGTTTATCTAAACTTTGTTTATCTTTAACGCCGCGGCGCGCAATGAATTGGAAGTTGATCTGTCAGCACTATCCTTATCTTCAGGGCAGATGTTTTTATTTTATTTGGCTTATAATTCCTTACTAAATGTAGTATTTCATCTCGATGTACTCCGTCTTTGATATGATTTAAATCAAATTCCTCGTCATTATAATTCGCTTCCGATAGCGAAGAAAGTGACAGAGGTTATTGAAAATGAAAAAATTTTGATTGACAAATCAGTCGGTAGACACAGCAATTATAGGACTTTAACAGTGGAACTTTGTAACTGAACAAGAAATTATGTCTGTTTATAGAATTAAAGAGAATGTGTTATCACATAAAAAACGAAGCAACTTAAACAACTTACATTGAAAGAAATGTTTAATAAAGTAAACAAATAAATATTAAGCTTTTTTTTTTTTTTTTTTTTTTTTTTTTTTTTTTTTTTTTTTTTTTTGTAAATTTTGATACCCTTTAGATCATAATTGTTCTTTATTTCATAAATTACGGTTTCATATTTTTAATTTTATAATTTCTGCATGCCATCTTACCAGATTTAAACTGATGATCTATAATCCGGAATCGCCAAAGTCCTGACGAGTCTGGATTAACGACTTTTGACTGTATTTGTTTTTAATTTGGTATTTTCCTTCAATTTGTGTTTCGCTAATTGAACTTGTTTCACGATGATAATAGGTTGGCCTTCAAATATTTAAGCGGTACTTTAAGTTTAGTGTGATTGAATTATTATTTTAACATTTTGCTGCACATAGCACATATTTATGTCTAAATTTTTTTCGTTCGTTTCCTGCATTCTTTAAACTCCTTTAATATATATACATTTATTTATTTACAGAGAGTTTTTGTTGCATTATGTCGTGCCAAATTTTCTTACTTCTGTAACTTAACAGCTGCAACTAGAAAAATATTTTGCAATTTAGCACTCATGATTATGCATTTAGAGATATTATGAGTCCCTGAACTGGCACTTTTGAAAAAGTTTATAAGTACTCAGTTCACATTTCTAAAGGACAACCAACATCACAAAATTTAAAGACTAATCCCCGTCTTCCATTATACTTTAAAATAAAATAAGCTGAGCATTAAGTCTTGATATTTAGGTATATGCACAGTGTGACTAACAATGAGCTTAACTTTTGAGTGAGTTTCAATGTGATCTATAAAGGAAATATCCCTTTAGTTTAGCAAAACTGCCTTCACTGTATGATGTTTAAATAAACATTTTAAAGAAGAAAAAAAGCATTACTCTTATGATAAGGCATAATGAATTTTTAGAGTATTCTTCACTGTAAAAATCCTGATATATATGCAGCATAACATATAAAATAAAATAATGTATCTAAAGCAAACTATACTAAAATGTATAAGCCCTAGCCTGTGAAGCGTTTTAACCTAAACTTTCAACTGTGTTGATCCTTGAAGTTCCTGAATTACAGCTTTTAATGCTTTAAATTTCAGATTTTTTGCTAACACTGAATCCACTAATTCGAGCAACCATACATGAAATTAAGCAACTTCAGATCCATTTCTTACAGGAAATATAAATTAATCTCAAATGAAGAGGTACTTTAAAAACAAACTCAAAATTCAATGCAAGCACAACTTGCATAGTGTTCTGGCTGTGGCAAAAAGCTTGTTCTTTAACAAATGATAAGTATGCTACCTCCGAGTTTGAGTTTGATATCTGCTGCTGACCTGTATTTATTACAGTCAATTCGTTAAATCAATTATAATTAGAAATCAGAAGTAACAATGTGAAAGCCATTTTAAAATTATGACATTCTAGTTACAGATAATTTGCTTTTTGATAGTACAGTACAAAGTCCGTAATCCGGACCTCTATTATCTAGAATGATCTATAATCCGGACCTCAAAGCCACAAAACAAACTTACGCATGCGCGTAAAGCCAGTAAAGCGTTTACCCATGCACGCTTCTGATAGTGAAGAGAGTAACAGAGAACGTTATTGAAAACAAAAAAATTTCGATTGACAAGTTAGTCGGTATTCTCAACACAGAAACTGCAAGACTTGAACAGTGGAACTTTGTAACTGAACAAGAAATTATGTCTGTTTATAGAATTAAAGAGAAAGTATTAGCATAAAAAACGAAGCAACTTAAACAACTTACATTGAAAGAAATGTTTACTAAAGTAAACAAATAAATATTAAGCTTTTTTTGTAAATTTTGATAACCTTTAGATCATAATTGCTCTTTATTTCATAAATTACGGTTTCGTATTTTAATTGTATAATTTCTGCATGCCATCTTACCAGATTTAAATTGATGATCTATAATCCGAAAAAGCCCTAATCTGGAATCGCTGAAGTCCCGACGGACTTTGTACTGTATTTGACAGCACAGCCTATAATTACTTGTATTATTATATACCAAGTTATAATAATAGTTAGTATATAGTTAACCAAGTTATAATGGTTTTAATTTAGTTTATGTAAAAAAAAAATTTGAATTTTGAGCTTCGATTCAGCTTGTAGTTTAACAAAATTACTGATGATTTATTTACAAGTTAGAAAGATGTTTTTACATAATTAATAAAATAAAATATTTAAAACCAGTTGCTAGTGATTTCAAACTGATTACAAAGAGGACAGTCTGTAAAATTAACTAAGAGAGAAAGATATTAAGATAATCTTCACAGTTCTACAGTCTCTAAGGATTAAATCTATCATAATTTTCTTTCCTTCAAGTCTTCTTTGCAAAAACTCCAGCTGAAAGAACTATATGTATGCCTGAAGCTTTCTCCAGTAAGCACAAGCTACCACTCAGAATTATTACACATCTGTATTTACTTCATAATGCACCAGAGAAGATTTAAAAAAAAAAAAATACATTTTAGTATAGTTTGCTTTAGATACATTATTTTATTTTATATGTTATGCTGCATATATATCAGGATTTTTACAGTGAAGAATACTCTAAAAATTCATTATGCCTTATCATAAGAGTAATGCTTTTTTTCTTCTTTAAAATGTTGCATGCTTCATTTAATAATACAACAGGGAAAGAATTATTCAGAAGAGCTCATGGTAATTACTATGGTAATTACTTTAATTAAAGGCCTATATGATTAATACACAGAAATAAGCGCAAGATTTTATTCAAATGCATATAATAATTTCCACATTTGTTTTCAACCTACTTCTTGTAAATTTAACACTTTTTTTAAATTAAATTAACGATATTCCTTCATTAACTCTCTGCAATTGTTAATATAAATGTGCAAGCAAAGTTTGAAAACCTTATTAAATAAGCACTTAACAATATTTATGGATGGTTTTCAACAATACAAACAGAATCTTTAGTAACTTTAATGAAAGAAACAAATAATCAATCTTCCAAATAATAATACGTTTTAATGCTAAAGAAGTTAGTATTATGTTATTTGTTGCAAATTTTATTTGTTAATATCACCTTAAAATTAGTTTCTTTTTAATAATAAAAGTAATCTTTAATACAGAAACAAACATACCTTTCTGATGCAAAAATTTCAGAGCATTAGCTATATCCCTGATTATCATACTGGCTTCATGTTCAGTAAAATGGACCCTTTTTTGAATATGAGCCAGCAGAGGGCCTAAAAATGAAAACAAGAAAATACAGCACTAGGACTACATCAGAAAATTTCATAAACTACAGAATAAATAATATAAGCTTACCTCCATAAACTTTTTCAAACACCAAGAAAAACCTTAAAAAATGTAATAAAAGTATGTCAATAGAAGGTACCTGAATATGTAAAGGGTAAAGAAACAATATTCAATTAATAAGATTCCTTTTAAATTAAAACCGGAATAATTTTAGCAAAATAGGCATAGTCAAAAATATTATTTACTTAAAATTTTGCATATATTTTCAGTAGATAATGAGCAACAAGATAAATAATTAAGCTGATAATTAAAAAATGCATTTCCCCCCTCTAATATTATTATTATTGTAGCATTTGAAATTAAATTTAATGCATTCATGAATTAAAATTAGATTATTTACCAAATGTACCTACTGTAGTATCAAAAACAGGATTGTATATTAAAAATGTTATTATACATCTGTATCTGTGGCTTACCAAAACCTAAAACAAATTAAAAAAAGGAAACAGTTTATACATTTTAAAATTTACATCAACATGCTGCGATATGCAGCAGCCTAGCACTGTCTTTCCGCGCATGTTTACATCATTAGCAAAGTATTATACGAATTAATGTTTCATTGCTCAAGCTTTGATCTGTACATGGCAAATACTATGCAGCACAGCTATAGCATGATCTTAATGTTTATCATTTTTTGAAGATTAAGTTAAAACTTTGGACCCCTTTTTTTTCACAGCAATTAGAAAGATCACCGTAAACATCCAATGTAGTATAGATTACATTATATTATTACCTTATTTAATATCTGTTAGTGCCCTGTTTATCAAATAGAAGCATAACATTAAATGTAGTAATCGATAATATTCCATGACTTTGTGTTAACTGGTAGGTGCTGGAAAGTGCTGCCAGCAAATAGAAAGGTACCCATGTAAACTATTTTAGCAAAGCATAATAGAATACATTAAAAACCTGACATTCACAAAATATTTGAAAATAAAATACCTCCATACAACCTATGCATTCACCGCAAAGTCAAACATTAGAGATATTACACGAGAGCGTTTTATGCTTTTTAACATGCTATAGTTAAATATTTTTTAGGAAGAAACTTCAACAGTAGTCATTTCACAACATGTCATTTAAGAACAGTAGAACAACTAGTAACTAGACCTAACAAAATGATTATTTTACATTTTATGCAATAAAGAAGTATTACTAAGTATTTCCTACGCACTCCAAATGAGGAAATATTCCAAATTTTCATATCCCAAATTAGAGAAATATTTTACAGACAGTAAATTCTGCTACACAGTAATTCAATTCAGCTAAAATTGAATTAATCATCTTAAAACTTACAGTATTATCACTTTCTGTTCGAAAGTAAACCATGAGAACAATAATTTGAAAGCAAACCACAAGCGAAATTAAAAATTAACAGAGTAAGCAATAGAATTTAAACTTTTTTTTCTGGATGTGCAATGTATCCAAAATACTATTCTGTAATAGGTTACATTATGCAAATAAGAACATAAAAATGATACAAAATTTTAATAATAAATGAGATATTAACCTGTCTTGCTCTTCAAAAAACTGAATAAGTTGTATGATATTTTGATGGCCATGACAATGATGGAATGTTTCTACCTCACGAAACACTCTTTCTCGTGGGTGACTAGGTTCCTTCAAAATTATCTATAAAAGCATTTTATGAAACAAATTATAAATATCAAAACTCATTTTTTATAAAAGGAAATATTCAGTGTCAAAATACTTCAGTTCTTTTCAGATGCAGTAATACATTGATAAAATCACATATTAGTAAGCAATTAATGAGTGCTACATGATTAAAATGTAAAAAAGCATTATGTTGTTCTCAAAGAATAAGGCATACGGCTACACTAAAATTAACAGGCAATACTTACATCTTAAGACTATATGATTAACAAACATCGCAAATACTGACTGGGTTAAACCTCCCTTAATAACATTCATAATTCCATATGATTTTTACAATGGGTGTGGCTGCAGCATAAAATATAATATAAATGTTTAGTGCTGTTATTTATGCTTTCAACAATGCTAGTCACTTTCAAAGGTTTCATTGCAGTTATAAGATTAAACTACATTATCAGGGTAAGATTAAAGCAATGATGCTGTTTTCTACTGCACAAAACTTAAAAGCTGATATAGCACAACTGTATGATTGCATATACCAGAGGCAATCACACAAAACACAACTTCTATTACTTCTATTCAGGATATAACTGAAACAATTAGAAATACAATAACAAAATCAAGAAAGATGAACAATAAATCATTAATAATTAAAATTAAGTAAAATGTAAAATATGAAAATTAAAGAAACAGAATATTAAAATAACAGTCTTAGTAACAGAAATATTAAAATAAAATACTGAATCTCCTCTTTTTGGAGGCTCTGAGAGGCATTATAATTTTAATTAAAAAGTATGATTCATCAAAATCCTGCTCGAGTGAGTTTACACTGAGTTTAAGACACAAATATATAGTATACCAAGGAATCAGATTAACCAGAAAAGTGAGATTGAAGGAAACAATATGAGAGCATGGAGGGAAATTTCAGTGGAAAAGCAACCATAAAAACAAAGAAAAGTTACACACTTTCTGACCACAATTACTTCTAGATATAGTTATAACTATCAAGCATAATGTGTGACATGGCATAAAATGCTTCCGAATCCAAGGGTTGATCATTAAATTAAGAAAAAATGTGAGGTTTTGTTCAAGTCACCAACTCCATCCTCTTGGTGACTTGAACAAAACCTCACATCTGGTTATATTGAATTGAAAGGGCCCCAGGTGCTCTTTTCCACGGAATAAAGTTGAATGTGTTTGAGCTGCTGATCTTAGCATTTTAGATTGATAAACATTATATACAGAACAAAGTCCAGACTTGTTCAGACTTCGCCGATTCCGGATTTCAGAATTTTCCGAATTTTAGATCATCATCTTAAATCTAGCAATGTGATATGCAGAAATTATAAAATTAAAAATATGAAACAGTTGTTTATGAAGTAACAAAGCATTTATGAACTTGTTCGACAAAGCATTTATGAAAGCGAACTTGTTCAAAATCTTGCAGTTGTCAAGTTGAGAATTCTCACTAAACTGTCAATAAAAAATTTCTTCTCAGCAACCTATTCATCACTTTATTGACTAATGGTAGCGATATGCCCTGCATTCCGAACCAACGGTACTACATATTTCAAGTAATACCCCATTTTAGCATAGCTCAAATGCTTTAGCTAGTATTCACTGTATACTACTGGTGATGTATCATGAAACTGGTGACTAAGGACATGCTCTTCTGCTAAATCATGGGCTCCCAAAGTTTCTTTTGTTATGCCTTCCTGCTGCCAAAAATGAAAATTTCTGCACGTCTGCTTTACTAATAATAATATTACCTAACTTATAAGGTAGAAGAACAAAAAGCATAATTTAAAAAATATTTATTATAGAAATATTGTGTTTTTACACACATATGGTAAGAGGGAAAAAAAATTAATCAATAAGCCAAATGAGCTTGTGTACTTTTGGCAAGATATTCAGTTTTTGGCTGAACAGAAGAAAGTAAGTAATATAAACAACTAGCAGTATTGAATTTGCTACTATACTTTGTTTTTATTGCTACAACTGCTGAAAATGCCCTTTTGCACAAATAAGTGCTTAAAAATGGTAAATACAGTTGCAGTGCTTGCTGTGCTACGCTGGGATGAGCTTTGAGATATTTTACCCAAAATAATAGCTTATCCATTTTTCAAAGTCATATTTTGCAGCAGAATCATTTTTAATTACCAGAGCTTACTCTTATACTGTTTCTGGCATCACATCTATGTATATGTAAAAGCAATTCATAAATGTTATTATCACACAAATTAGAAAAGCAACATCTGAATTCATCAGTATGGTGCTGGAAATGATTTGATATTTTATTCTTAGTATCAGCATCCTTTAAACCCTCCTTAAAGAACACTTCTTCCAAGACTTCAAATAACTAGGAGAGCAGGAATAATGCAGGTTAAAATTTTAATATTCCCAGAGCTGCAATTAACCAGTATACGCTGTGATGGTATCCCGACGGTAAAATATGTTTGAATCTCAACCTTGTAATTTCAAATTTGAAGAGTCCAACAAATCGAAAATATCCGATTTATAAGCTAATACAAATTGAACACCTGGCTTTCAGAATTCCACATACAATTCAGTTTGATTTTGAATTTTCAAAATCTTAATCACTTCAATACAAAGTTCCAATAATCTTGCCAATGTATCTCCTTTAAAGAGTCAGCATATTTCTGTACAGAGTAACAGTGTTTTATGTTCTCTTCCAAAATCGTCATGAGGAAGGGCAGTAAAACTAGCATTTAACATGTTCTTTTTAACATGATTGACAATTTTGATGCATAATTTTACGATACTGTGTTCGTTTGGAAGTGTCTGAGCTGTCGACGCTTGATGGTGTTTAACACTGTTTAACAGCAGTAACATTCAGTTATTTTTCTCCAACTTTCTGTATGAATCCTGACTGAGATCCAACGCACTGACACTGGAATATTTTTCTCTGACTATCTGTATGAATGATGAGTGAGATCCAAGCACTAATGAAGCACTATTCAAATTTGCAAAAGAATTCAGAGATTGTTGTCATTACATGAACTGCTTTTGAAGCAGTCAGCAACCCTAACAGCATCTTGTCCTTAATTGTTTCACTTTGTATGTATCAAACAAAAACTAACAGAGTAAGTTGTAGAAACAGTCATCAACATGACAACATTTTGCAACATGATGATGACTGTTTCTACAACATGACTTTTCTTGGCTTTAGCAATGAGCAGCAGTAACTCATACAATTTTCAGATGACTAAAGGATGTAGTATAATTATCCAATTTCATAGCTTTCAAACCTGCATATTTTGCAGACAAATGTCACTCCAGATGAGAAGCTCTCATGGCATCATTGTTCAAATAGTTTGTAATGAACAACACACTGCGGTTGGTTGATACCGCATTTTTGCTCAGCAGCAAACCAATATTTAGTGCAATTGTCACTGTACTTGTGTTTTGCTGTGATATGAACACATAACAAAGTAAAAAAAAAATACAAATCAACAGTTTATTTTTGCATCAAAAGTACATGTAACGGCACTGCTTGTGTGATGCCCAAATGACTTGGTGATGCAGGTGGAGAGATATTGCGGGCAGCAGAGCAACACTCGCCGTTACGATGCTGTTTCGTACTCATCTACTAATATTTAACAAAAAATTATTGCTCTAGACATTGCTGCACGAGTTGTTCTTGAGTTAGTATGAGTTGAAGGTAACATGGTAATAAAAGCAATAAAATGACAATAAATGATTGGCAGGTTGGCATCAGAGATATAAGTTATTTAGCAGGTGTAAATCAGCAATGAAATTTGGTAGAATATTTCAGTTTGAGATGTAAGCCAAGCAAAAAGGTGGTTATGGAGCCAACAAATTATTGATCATACTGATTTAAGTTAATAACTGATTGTGCCTCTGCAACATAAAGATGCTTTTATCAAGTACTGAAGTGATATTAAGAATCAGAACCTTTCACATACTTTATTGTGAAAAAATGTCTACTGCGCATATGTGAAGTATTAAGCAAATATTCAAGCGAGACACTACTTCCAATTCAATTCTTCCTCCCTTTTTGCAAAAACTTTTTTTTAAAAAAATTAGTCCAAATATTAGGAAACTAGTCATTTTTTGTAAAAAAACCCCCATTTTCGCAAGCTACAGGTAATTTTCAACTCACAGTCAAGTTTATAACCAAAATCTAAAAATTGAAGAGATGCAAGATTAATCATTTAACTTATAGCTTCACCTGTTAGTATAAATACATACAGTATGATTTTAATGCTGTTTCAAGAACATTTAGGCAGATTTGAAATTAACATCTTTTACACAAGAGGATATTAAATTGAATAGCAAAATTTCACAGACTAAAAAAGAAATGAAAACCTAAAGGAAATATAATTGACAAATATGTTTGACAAACAAGCAGACCAGATCCTTGTGCTTCATGAACTGAAAAGATAGATTCTGAAAACGAATCAGGTAACACATTCGAACACTGAATTCAAAGATGTGATAAATACTGAATTAAAAAAGGGAGATGTAAAGCCTTAATTATATATATATATGAAATTGGAAGTGACAATTCTGGCATGGCATAAGACGGAAAAAATACAGCTTGTAATGTGTAAAATAAATTTAGGTAAATTAAAGTATTCGCTATAAAAATATGTCAAAAGAAACACAGGTCTTTTTGAGGAAGATTGGCTTGAATCTGCAGTTTACATTGGGGGGGGGGGAAGGACTCCCATGCAACTTGCCGAGCTTTCAACTTGCTTCAAAGTACTCATATTTAGTGGTTTTGTGCCTACAGCTGGGCTTTGATTATGGGAATTTTATTGAATTCAGTTCCCTCATTACAGCTGGTATAAAACAAACTACACCTTTAGTAATTTTCATATCATTTATTACACATCTGTCTCAGACATTCAATCTGGTGTCAGCACACTTATTACGACATACGTTACCTGCTAATGTGCTTAAGACTACAATATGAGACAGCTTTTTACAATAAGATATATAATTCCTTTTTACTCTCACCTAACATTCAAAGATAACTTTTCATCACACTTTAAATTACTATGCATTGACTGCTAAAATACCTAACTTTTACTATTTATCTCTTTCTTTATCCTTTTATATTTTCGTTCAGTGAATCGATCATGTTGGCAACTTTCCAAATTTTGAAAATTGCCAACAGCACTACACATTACAAAGTCTGAAATCCAGACTCGTCGGGCGATTCCAGATTAGGGGTTTTTCCGAATTATAGATCATCGATTTAAATCTGGTAAGATGGCATGCAGAAATTATACAATTAAAAATATGAAACTGTAATTTATGAAATAAAGAGCAATTATGATGCAAAGGGTATCAAATTTTACAAAAAAAAAAAAAAAAAAAAAAAAAAAAAAAAAAAAGAAGCTTTATTTGTTTACTTTATTAAACATTTCTTTCAATGTAAGTTGTTTAAGTTGCTTCATTTTTTTGTGCTGATACTTTCTCTTTAATTCTATAAACAGAAATAACTTCTTGCCCAAAGTTCCACTATTCAAGTCCTGTAACTGCTGTGTTGAGAATACAGACTAACTTGTCAATCGAAATTTTTTCATTTTCAATAACCTCTCTGTCACTATCGGTAGTGGTATTTTCTGGATCTAGAACCATACTACAGACTTTGCCATCCATTAATTGATTGATGATTGGGGCACTGTCATTGCAATGAAAAACTTGCTATATCATCTTCATTTATTAGTGCTTCTCCACATTTCTCAACAAAATCCATTAACTGGAAAATTTCACCTTTAGTTTTCGATATCCGAAAACCTTCAAATTCGCGGCTATCATTTTATCGTCCTCAGCATTAAATATGGTAGCTGGCAATAAATTATGCAAAGCATTTTTTAACGTATCTGGAGATGCATCCTTCCATGATCTTGCAATGCTCCACACAGCAGATTTTATGCTAAAATATTTCAAAAATTCTTGAATAGTCTTTATCTTTCACTAAAACTTTAAGTGAAATATGAGCCAGATAGTTGTCTACAATCAGGACTATTTTTGAGTCATCAGGTAAACCAACTGAATTCAAATGTTGCCGATCCTCGGGTATAAAATGATTTTCAAACCAGTCATTCATTAACACTTGTGTCAACGATGTTCTTTTATTTGCATGATATACAATGGGGAAAATCATTACTCCTTTAAATGCTCGAAGTCGTGCATGTTTTCCGATTATGAAAAGTTTGCATGAAAAAAACTTCTCATCCCTTAATTTTTGCCACTTGGTGCTTCCCCAAATTCCAAAAATTTTGTCTTTCCCAAATTCTGCCGTATGGTGCTGACATTCTACCGGCGCTTCTGGGTTTATGGTGAAAAACATATCAGTTATTCTGAATTAAATAGCACTAAATGTAATCTTTTGGCCTATGAGTTTCATTAACAAAATCTATTTTTAGCACATGAAAAGAAATTTTTGTTGAATTTTTCCTCAACATTTCTTAGAGCATTTAAAAATCTATAGTCGTAAAAGCATAAAAGGTTGCCATACTCTTGTTATTCAATTGCTAATATAAAAAAAAAGTTTAGACATCACTGCATGAGTTACTACTGAAGCTGTCATGTATTGATAAATATGTGGTGATGAAAGCAAAATATAATAAATGACGACTCGCCAGGTTGGCATCAGGGATATAAAATAATTGAATGTTTCGGTTTGAGACGTATGCCAAGCAGATATTCAGCAATGGAGCCAAATTATTAATCTCACAAATTTATGCTTACATGATGGTTTTTTCATAATGAGTTATTTTATTTAGAGCCTAAGTGAAAATAAGAATCGGAATTTTTAAGTGAAAATCTCCACATGTTTTATTATGGAAGAAAAAATTAAATGCACATGCATAAAGCATACCAAAAAAAAAAAAAAAAGTTCGTGGCTTTGAGGTCCGAATTTTAGATCATTCCGGATAATGGACGTCCAGACTTCGGACTTTGTACTGTATTAACAAATCTCATTATTCTTCACATTTTTTTAACTGCCCATCTATAGAATATTATTAGCCAAATTTCAATTTTATACACTTTAGATGAGCAGACTCATACATATCTTTTCCAGAAACACAGAGCCTCAAGGTTGGAAAACCTTCTTTATGAGACCTTGGTTTAGTTGGTTATGGCAAAGCACTCAAGGGCTATCTGCCTAAGGGAATTCTTTGTAAGATGAAGGCACAGCTCTCAGGTGGTACATAGCCCCATATATTTATTATCAATGTGGAAAATATATGTATATTTGCTGAAAATTTACATCTGCCACAAAAGAAAATAATTCACATTATTACCATTAAACAATTACATGATATGTAAGGTTCAAAAAACCAGTCAAAATGTCTAAACTATTTAAGGAATAGGACACAAAGTCTGGTAATACTAATTATTATGAAGCAACACTTGCAATAATATGAAAATTGCATCAGTTTTTTTTTCAGATAGAGTCCATAAAATAATTTAGATCTAAAAAATATGAAGTAAATAACTTACAAATTAGAAACAAATAACTCCTACCTAAGAAATTAATATAAATTTGTCATGAAGAGTATCTTACCTTAACTGCAAATTCTGCACCAGTGCTAATTTCAATACATGTTTGTACTGAGGCATAAGCCCCTTCACCCAATACTTCATCTGTTAATCTATATAAATCTGAAAAATAATGTTTCTATAGATTTCAACAGCAAACAATCAAAGGGAATACACTCATAAACATTTAAGTGTAATGTAGTGATTTTCAGAGTTAATTCTACAAAAGATATAATAAAATTTCAAGTAAACACACCACCTATCTGTTAGCCAATTATGAACTAGCCAAAGTTTGCCCTTTGAGGTCTGCTGCGGGCTAGGGGAAAAAACGTTCAACTTGCCAGAATGATTTAGATCAAATCAGGCACATATAAGCTCTACTAAAAAAAGTAGATGGCCTTAATACACACAGCAGAGATGACCTTATTCCTAAAAACAGTGCAATGTTCTTTCAATAACATTCTGAGAACTAATTAATGGAAATTGAATGAAATTAAATACATAATTCAGGAAACTACTGGCTTTGGAAGTTTTACTCATTTCACATAATGATAGTAATTTTATTGCTCAAAGAGCATCATAAAAGCTAAAGTTTTAAAAACTTTTATTAAGTAACAAGCTGAATTCAAAAACTGCATGAAATTTTAAAAATAATAATCAAAGAATCTAGTTTTGAAACAGAACATTTATTATGGAAGTTACAGTGTCAGTCTCCGAGATGTTCCAGTTTTACAGGCATTCCATGTAAAAATAAGATCGAATATTTTGCTAAGCAATGTAATAAACAACTTCTCTTTTTTTAAAAAAAAATAACCTTTTTGCAGTTTCGCAGAAAATTTCAGCATACGTTCACTCAGTAAAATAAATCGGCTCTTTGAATCAGTTCATGAATTAATATCACATCTCTAGTGCATATGCATATGTGCGAGAGATTTGTTCCTGCTTTATTTATATTACACAGCATTTTAAACAATTTTTCTCTTTCAGTTTTTTTTGCTCTGATGATTTGTAGATTATAAACATAAATACTCACATATATTACACAAATGAAGTTAATACACATTAAAACATATTATTATTCAAATCAAAACATTATTTAACTATAGGACTTGGTAAATGACCCCAAACTTGCATTTATATACCACTTCATCTGACTTTCCCAGTCCCAAATCCTAAGCATCACAAAGAATATTCATTCTATTTAAAGGTTCAAGAATTTCGATTTATGTCACTTGCCACACATGAAAGGACAGGCAAGCATGTAGATGAATCTTGAGCAAGTTTGCAATAAACTATCAGCACAAAATCCAAAATCTTGCTCCTTATTAACTGTGGTTGTGTGCAGTCAAATAATGCTGCAGCATCACAGAAACATTTCATAGTCCCATATTCTAAGCGATAAATAAAAATATTATAACTTGAAATTTCACTTTTAAAAGGTACATGCACGAGTACCTAATACTAAGATTAATAACTGCATGGCAGTTTTCACTCTGATCCAAAATGGCACTGTTTACTTCATGGCAATAGTCTCTTCACTTTATGCCACATTTTTGGCATGAAGGAATATACTTTTCACTTCAATGTCACAAACCATCAAACTGCAATTGCAACTGAACGTTGTTATCTAACAACGAAACTGCCACTTATGCCACTCACAATACTTACAAGGCATGTGAGAATGCCACTACTCGGACAATTAAGTGTTATTGAGAGATCAACAGCTTTGTGAGAGAATCCATAAACAATGCTTATCATCGAAACTGCCTTCATATTGCGAAACTGTAGCCAGGTGCAATGCTTTGCAGACGTGCACTTTACAGATATGTCATTGTCATGGTAGATTTTACAGCCACACCAGAACTGATGTCAATGCTTAAACAGAGGCTGTGAAAAAGGTGGCTGAAATAATTTTTGCTCGGACTGCTGAGAAAATAGCAAATTTACATTTCTCAAATTACTTGGCATTTATGAAACTCATGCAATCCTTTTGAAATGTTGGAGCAAAATTTATCAATAGATTCAGATTATGTGTCACTATAATGGATTTGTGTCATGAACTAGAACCTCATTTAAGAGTAACTGCCAAGGGATATTCTGTACAAATGCAGATTTGTTTTTGTTTTGCATTATGAAAACTGAAATATCTGTAGAAAAGTAACCATTTCACAGACATATGCCTAGTTTCCTCAGTGAATAAGTTCGATATTTTCATGTATAAACACCCAAATTTTTAATTTCAATGCCTGTGCAGCAGTCTTCCACTCACCCCTTTTTGTGTGTGTGTGTTTCTTTTCCTGGTAGTTTTTTTTTTTTTCTTTTTTTTCCAAATAGCATTGTTAATTACTGTAAATTTTGGAGTACATTAACAATGTAAGTGACTATTAGTAATTTATCAGTTCATGTATTAAGTACCCTAAAAAGTAAACTTGAGAAAAAACATGTGAGTGAAACTTGAGAAATCATGAAATACGAAACTTCAGTTACATATGCCTTCTTCAGTATGTTTACTCTCCTATAACTGCAGGGAGAGAAATGCCTTTTTTTTTTTGGCCAATTGTTCAAATATTTAAAACAGTACTTGCTACCTAAACTTTTCTGTTGCAGTTTGTCCTAAAATGTTGTCAATGCCAATGTAATTTACATGTTTGCCATTAATCTTGCAAAAAAATTACACTATGTTATAGTATACGCATTTCATTATGTCAGCAAGTCACTTAAAAATGGACATGAAAAACCATCACACAATTTCCCATTAATATTTATTGTCTTTGATATAAACATAAAACTGAGTAATATTCCATTCTGCACAAAATGTACCAATGGATTTTTAGAAATGTAAGTAATCTTAGTTTGATGATACAGAATGTGCTTTCTTGTATCTTGTTCCATATATTTTTTTTTTTTATTGGCATTGTGAGTTGTGGTAACATTTGTTACTCTTATTAGTTGAGATTGCTTATCTGTTAAACATAAAATTTACAGTTATTACTTAAATTTGGCACTGAATATTGGGTTTGTAGTTTCAGTAAACTTTATCTGGTTATTATGAAAATGTTTTGCTTTAGAAATGTTCAGAAGTGTTATCACTAAATTTCCACTTGTTTCTTATATAAAAAATTTTGACGGTGACTGTATTATTTTGTTTAGCAGGTAATACTTAATGAGCAAAAAGTCAAATAGTTACAGTTATACAAAGATGTGGAAATTTTCAAAGAAGCAGAAATAGCTTAAGAGGTGTTGTTAGGTTTCTGGATTATTATGTTGGTTACAACAGTTATCTTTGCAATTCATAAATGAAATAATCATGTAAGATAATCTTATGTTCTACATAATACTTTCAGTATTAAAAATAAGAAGTCTAACCATTGCTTATACAATAGTTTACAATTGATACAATAGTTTCTCTCAAGTTTACAGTTATACCATTTACATTACTTTGTGTTTATGAATGCACAAATCTGAAAATTTCATAACAAATTTCCCTATGTAAGATTAATAATGCACCTTTTGAGACTTTAATATTTCATGTGTTAAAATTGTAATTTTAGGTTTTGCTGTACTTGCACGATGCTAGAGAGAAGAAATACATACTCAAACTATGGCTGTTGAAAACTTGATGGCTTTATTTCTAGATTCAGTACTTCGATTACTACAGTATAAATGAAAGAATGCCAAAAGTAGGCAACAGTAAGTCTTTGGCAGGGGTGATACCTGCTTGCAGATAATAAAGAATATTGTATGGTTGCTTTGTCCCCCAATATGTGTCCTGGAGACCCACAAGCCAAAGCATACTTTACATAAAAATGAATTTTTAATCTTTAGTGAAAATTAAAATGTTTCAATTTGTTATTTATGAATATAAATTCATGTTAATACACTAAAACTAACTGCAACTGTATTAACGGGTCTTGCTTCATTATATTTTAAAATTTTATAAACCTGAACATGCAAAATTTTATATCAAGTTTATTTATTATGACAAAATCTGAAAGCAATCTGTCTGGAAAAGGCTGCTTACATGCACAATGATTTAAACTAATGTCTTCAGTCTTAGAAAAGAACCCAGCACAGAATACCAGTGTTCAACGGTCTTACTCAGTCACTACTGGGCTTTCATTAGTTGAAAGCAAGTTGACATGTGCATAGAAAATATCAAATGTAATACTGCATTTATATTATCAGCTGCTGATTTATACTAAAAAAACTGCAGTAATATTTACGAGTAAACTTTTGACCATGATGGTCACCCAACAAAAATATACTGTACTAATTTATGCAAGATACTAGATTTGGGGGAAAAGGAAGTGCTACAGCAGTTCAGTTTGATTCACTATTTAATATAATTGTATAAACACAAACTTAACCTAAATGTACTAAACTAACATATGTTTGACAAATAACACGAAAAATCAAGATTCACCTCACTAATTATCTATAAAGCTTATACATTTTTAGTCATTCAATTATTTCACATGCAGTTCACATATAGGTATTTTATTTGTTGAATATGCTGATTACATACATTTTTACATGTAACACTGGAAGTAATCATTCATCATTTTTAAAGATTTTGCTAACTAAATAAACTTTTAAGAAAGAGTAAAAGTTTTCACTGGTAAGCATTTTAATTTTTCCTCTGACATCTTTTCCTTGGTATATAATCCACAAGTTTCTCTTTTATTAAACCAAATAAATCCTAATTTATCTTTAAAAACATATCTGGAAAGGAAAGGGAATTACCAATTATAATTCTGATTAGGAAGCAAAATGTAATGTCTTTCTCTAACTGTTATCAAACTCGATTATGTTTTAACAACTTAATTTCATCCTCAACAATAACTTGAATAACAATAAATTTAATGTTTACTTAAAATTTCAATACAGGTTTTAATGCAGAAAATTTTACATTCTCCTAAATTTTTATTCATTATCATATACCCTTTTCATATTATTTTCTGCCATCACGCATTAGTGAAAATTTTAATATACATGAATTTATATAAAAATAGTATGATTTATCAATGTTATTTTTTACTATAATAATCTAAAATCCAGTTATATTTTAGACAATAGATGATAAATTTGTAGGTGACAAAAAGCTTTAAATTTTCATATGCAAA